TTTATCTCAGTAGGGCCCTAACCTTCCTCGTCACTACCCAACCGAGGTTAGGCTTGGCACTTGCTGAGTACCGCTGTGGTGTACTCATGCCCTTTCTGCGCATGTTTTTCATGTGCAGATCCAGGTACCTCTACCTAGGAGTATCACCCTCGAGGCGGAGAGATCTAGCAGAGACTTCAAGGTACATCTGTCGCGTCCGCACACCAAGGAGTCTCTATCATATTCTAGCTTTAGCAGTTAGCCTTTCCATTCTTACTGTTGTTTTAGACATCCTGAAGTTAGAGCAGTATACTACTTTCTGCTAGCTTGTGTTCCCGTGAGTTTCCGGGTTTTGGTATGGTATTGTAGACTTCTGCGTTATTGAGTTGTATATGCCAAGTGGCATCTATATATACAGTTTTCTTTTAGCTGTTCAGTTTTAATTATTAATCTCAGCAAGTTGTATTGTTTTCCGTATTGTTAGGCTTACCTAGTCGTAGGGACTAGGTGCCGTCACGACTTGTTCATGGAGGGCGAATTGGGGTCGTGACACATACTCACTTGTGTCACACATAAGCTCGAACGGTTGCTCCCAGTTGGGTGCAACAATGAAGGGTACAGTCACCAATCTCTTCTTCAGCTTCTCAAATGCCAACCTTCGATCATTAAAAAACACAAAGGGTTGATCCTTTTCAAGGAGTTTACATAAAGGGTTAGCAATCTTAGAGAAATCTTTTATGAATCGCCTGTAGAACCTGGCGTGCCCAAGGAAACTTCTCACTGCCTTGACTAAAGTAGGCGGTGGCAACTTCTCAATCACGTCAACCTTAGCATGGTCAACCTCGATTCCTTTACTAGACACTCGATGCCCCAACACTATCCCTTCTCGTACCATAAAATGGCACTTTTCCCAATTCAGCACTAAACTTGTCTCCATACGTCTTCTGAGCACTCTTTGTAAATTGTGAAGATAGTCCTCGATTGAATCTCCCACCATGGAGAAATCATCCATAAATACCTCCATAATGTCTTCAACCATGTCCGTGAAAATGGAAAACATACACCGTTGGAGTGTAGCTGATGCATTACAAAGCGCAAAAGGCATTCTCCGAAAGGCAAAGATGCCATATGGATATGTGAAAGATGTTTTCTCTCTATCTTTGGGGGCTACTGAGATCTGATTGTACCCCGAATATCCATCCGAGAAATAGAAGTGAGATCGCCCAGCTGACCTGTCCAACATTTGGTTAATGAACGGAAAGGGAAAATGGTCCCTCCGAGTGGCTGTGTTCAAGTTCCGGTAATCCATGTAAATCCGCCATCCCGTGACTGTATGAGTCGAGATCAACTCGTTATTCTCATTTTGTACGACCGTCATTCCTCCTTTTTCAGCACACACTAAACAGATTGCTGTCAGAGATGGGGAAGATGATACCCGCATCTAACCATTTGATCACATCCTTCATCACCACCTCTTTCATATTCGGGTTCAGCCTTCGTTGATGTTCTCTGGAAGGTTTTTGCCCTTCTTCCAAGAGAATATTGTGCATACAGAAAACTGGGCTCATACCATTTATGTCCGCCATGGTCCAACCAATGGCAGTTTTACATTCCTGTAACATCTATAGGAGTTGCTCTACCTGTACAGCTAGCAAACCAGATGATATAATAATAGGTAAAGTAGAATTAGGCCCTAAGAAAGCGTACCTGAGGTGAGCTGGGATCGGTTTCAGCTCCAGTCGGGGTTGTTCCTCTATTGATGGCTTTGCAGGTGGTATAGCTCTCTTTTCTAACTCTAGGGACTCGAACTGAGGTTCCCTCTTCCAGAATCCTTGGCCTTCGAGTTCCATGACCCACTCTGCCAACCCTTCACCATCCATCTCTTCTAAATTTGTCAAGCAAGCTCCCAATGGATCTTTAGCATTCAGGATCTCATCATCTTCATGCAGGATCACATACACAACCTCCACTAGGGAGCAATTAGCATATTCACTAGGTCTCCTATGGATTGTTAAACGCTGAATATAACTTCTTCATCATTCAACTTCATTTTTAATTCCCTAGTTTCACAATCAATCAATGCTCTCCCAGTGTCTAAGAATGGACTCCCTAGAATGATGGGTATCTCTGCATCTTCCTGGCAATCCAGAATAACAAAGTCTGCAGGGAATACAAACTTTCCCACTTGTACTAGCACATCATCGAGAATCTCTGTCATCTTTTTAACCATGCGGTCAGCCAGTTGCAACAACATCAAAGTCGGTAGCTCTACTAATGCCCAGTTTTGTATATATTGCCAAAGGCATCAAGTTTATGGTGGATCCTAAATCACACAATGCTTTTTCAAAGGCATAACTCCCAATAGTACACAGAATAGTGAAGCTACCTAGGTCAGACATCTTTTGAGCCATGGGTCTTGTCACTACTGCATTGCATGTCTATGTCAGAGTTACTGTGGACAGGTCTTAAAAGTCAAATTTTCGTGACATTAGGTCCTTCATCATCTTTGCATAGCCTGGCATTTCCCTCAAAGCATCCTTCAGAGGAATATTCAATTGAATTTGACGAAGCATCTCCATGAATTTTCTGTATTGATCTTCTCTCTTTTGTTTTGCCAGTCTCTAAGGGAATGGTGCAGGTATCACCCTTTGTGGACTGCTTGTTGGCTTCTCTTTGTTGGGGTTTTGTGGCACAAGAGGTACCACCTGTTATGCATCTTGTTCACTTTCTTTAGCCTTACCCTTATGGTCTTGAAACTGTTCAACCACCACTTCAGTAAGTTCTGCTGATTCATCTACCTCTAATGGAACTGGAGTGGCTGGCGTAGTCTCTCTGCTGGATTACGCAACTTCTTGCTCCATGTCTAAATTTCTCCCATTCTGGAGACTTACTGCCATCAGCTGATTCGGGTTTTTCTCCTTGGGGTTAATGTTCGTGTCGGCGGCAATGTTCCTTAGGGGCGGTTATTTAAGGCCATGGACAGCTGGCCCAATTGAGTTTCAATATTCTTTATTGCTAAGTCATGCACTGCCAACTTTTCCTGCATCTTACCATTTGTTCCAATGAGTTGTTGAAGCATACCCCTGATTTTTACCATTTTGTCATCCTGTTGCTGAGAAGGTGGCTGATATGCCAATTGTTGCTGGTTCTGCTATGGATAGCAATGTTGTCTCTAATATGACACCATTTGGTTTTGAGGCTGCATACCTCCAGATTGTGGAATGTTTGGTCTGTACTGCTGATTGGATGCTAGTCTCCACTGTTATCCTCCTTGTCTCTGACCCCCAAAATTGTTGACATAATTCATATCCTCTCTTAACCCTTGGTTGTCACCTTCTCCACTCCATGAACACACATAAGACTGATTACTGCAAGGTGTACATAGTCCTCCATTTATTGTGTCAACGATATGCACTTGCTTTGTACCCATCTCATCAATTTTTTTTGTCAATATACTCATCTGAGTCATGAGTGTGGCTATGTTTTCTGCATGCGAATTATTTGGGTCAAGAGGAACTGAATGCACTATTGGTGTCAGGGTCGTACCTCTCGTCATCCACCCCGAATTCAGGGACATCTTGTCAAGAAGGATTTTAATTTCTGTGAATGTCTTGCTCAAAAATGCACCCTCGGCTGAAGCATCTACATTGGCTTTTAAATTGTCTGCTAACCTCATGTAGAATCTTTGGCCGAGCATCTGGTCTGGAATACCATGGTGGGGACACTTCACTAGCATCCCTTTGAATCTTTCCCAAGTTTCCTGCAAGGTCTCAGTAGGTTGCTGCTTGTACTGCAATATCTCATCAATCTGTCTTGCAGTCTCTGGAAACAACAATCAAATCCACAAAGAAAGAGCAACCAAACCAACAAGTTTACAATTTCTCCTGATTCCCTTTCCACATTTCCACATCAATAATTTCACAATTTGTTCACAGTTCATTTCAATAGCGATTTCGATCGCTTTCCAACCTTATTACCTCGGCCACCCTTATTACCTCGGCCGAACAATCACAATTCACAAACAACACAACAACAACAACAATTCACAAAGAATAACAACAACAATCCTCAAGAAACAACANTATATATATATATATATATATATATATATATTCAGTTTGAGTCAATAGAACAAGAATTGATCTTGTTCTTGTAGTTGCCAAGTAAGCTGGAAACCATAGTGACCCATGTACTGAGTTCTCCTCACATTCATGTCAGTATTAAATTTAGGCAAAGATCACTTTTAGCTCGTGACCAAAATTATTTATATTTGGTAACTGTAAAAGTATATAAAAGTTGTATTTTTTTGGTAATAACATACAAAAGTGTATATATATATATATATATATATATATATATATATATATATNAGCATGCCCCGAGACCCCGAGGGCGGGAAGCCACAATCGGGTTCTCAGCCTCGGGGCTCGTCGAAGCCCGACTCGAAGGAAACAGAGGCCAAAATCAGGACAGCGGGGGAAGCCCCTAAGCACATGGCTATGTCTGACAGGCCCGATCTATCTAGAGCCTACAATGAGGCCATGCATCAAGCCGTCCCATCCTCGTATTCTTGTAATTAATACGTACGTACTTATTGTTGAGTTCCCCTCCTATATAAAGGGGACTCACCCTACCTTGTAAGGGACTGATGTTGCTCCACTTCTCCACAAATGCAATAATATCTCTCTCTCTCTCTCTCTCTCTCTCTCTCTCTCTCTCTCCCTCTCTCTTCTAAATTGTCTGTTTTCATTGGCCCGAGGCCGCCCTAGCATTTTATTGTTTTCCCGTTTGTTCTCCGTTACTTTGCTCAATATTGATAACATAGAGTTTTGCTTAGCCATATATCTGCCTGTTATCCCATTCTCGATCGCCCTCGATAGCTCGAGACCGGCTCGAACCTTGGCCCCGAGGTATCTGCAGGCCGACTTCGCATCCGGGCAACAGCCCCTTATTGTATCGATTACTGCCCTGCTTAACTCACTTTTCATCGCTATACTTCACGTTTTTAACACTAACTTCCCTAACAAACTAGCTCCGGAATAGATCACGTATTTTTAGAATTATTTACAAATTTAATTGTTGTTACCATTTTCACGATAAACAGTTTGGCGCCCACCGTGGGGCTAAAAATAATAGTGATTATTTTCTTACTAGTTTCGTCACACGAACACACGTTATCTTTCACACTTCTTCTTGCCCAAGATCTTTTGATTTCAGGTTAATGTCCGGCTCGATAAGCAAAATCGAGAACGACAACCCCGCAGATCAAAGAGAAAACAATATGGCTATTCCGGCGGCTAGCGCGACACTGCAGGACCCCGATAAAGCATCTAGATCGGTTCAAGCAGACGCGGGCTTGCACGCCGCGCAGCGGGTCAATGGAGTTGCGCGCACCAATGGTGGCATACAACATGTTGACCAATAGGAAGCCCAAAACATCCTGGCCCGGGTAGAACAGGAAGTTAATCTTCATATTATTTTTGAAATGTTGCAGGAACGACATTTGCCTATCGCTTGGCTGCAAAGTTGCCCGGAGACTCCCAACGCGGCAACGCCGGAAATATATCCTTATGTCGAGCAAGTACCCGAGAAATTGAGAAACGACGGATCGGCGACCTACCCCGTCGCAATAAGGATGTTGGAGAACCTCATCGAAAGGATCGAATCAGGCTCGTGGAAGCTCTTACAGCAACCGTCTCTCGAAGATACGATCCCGGAATTCATTTCACAAAAGTCAGGAATTACGGATCTTTCTGGGTGTGACAGGACCTCGAATCCTTACGGGCACATCACCACTTACACATGCTCGTCCAGGGACAGCAACCTCCAAAATAATGGGTTCGAGCCCGTCCCGATAAGGAGATTCAAAGAGATTCTCCCGGAAGAAACCATGATGCAGCGCCACTACCCGGCACTTGACCTCACGGAACCGCTTACCATACCAGCACGGTCCTCCATGGAAGCATGCGCCGGTGCTATCAAAGCAATACCGAGAGGGCCCAATGCATCGTAGGCCGAACAAAGAAGAAATAAAATGCCGCGGGAAGCCGCACCCCACTCCCTGATAGGGCAACACGGGCCTTCTCCTGAAGCCTAAACGAAGCACACCCAATGGCTCCAGGGCATTTCAAGCGAAGCTTGATCAGATACCCGACAGAGGCTTGGTTGGATGCCCGCAACCGACACCAGCCCCGAATCAGGGCCATGGACAACCTTCGAGAAACCTCCTCGAGTCCGGCATATCCAGGCAGACTCCCGCCAAGGAAGCTGACACCGAGCGATGGAGGAATCATCCGTGCGCTGCGAACGAAAGGAAGACTCGAGGTATAGCCCGCCTCGCAACAATAAGGCAATAGCTTGAGGACAACAACCTTGAGG